GTTCTCGCTTGAAGAAGCTGCGTAGGTGTGGGAATCGCTGCTGTAGGTTGGATCTCTCAATGGCAGTGAGTGGGGTGGGGTGGTTGCAGATCAATAATCAGCACCCTGCGGTTGCTGTAAATCAAGGCTCGAATCTCTGACAGGCTGCAGAAGCCAGGAAGAGGCACAGAAATACCTCGCCTAACGTTTTTCCTCTCTCTCATTTCTGCATTACGTTGACCTAAATAGGAATCTCTGGTTAGATGTGGCTTCGTTCTGGCGGAAGGGGGAGCATTGCAAGGCTGGAGAAACGAGGCTCTCCCGAGCGGACCGCGGTGGCTCTTTCCTCCCAGGTACCGTGCAGGCGAAGGAGCAAGTGACGGGTGGAGAATTAACAGGGGCTGGCAGCAGGGCCATGGGGCAGCCTGGCTCCCGAGGAGAGCTGGAATGGCAGCTGAGGACAGCTGATGTGTTAAAGAAAGGAGGAAGGCTGAGTGACAGCGAGGCAGGGAGCCAGTCCAGAGATGTCCATTAGGTTGGTTATTAAAATCCGATGGAACCACCACGGTGTATATTTATTAACAATTCGATCTCTCTGCTTCAGTTTTTGCTACTTCCAGCCTTCCTTTCTCCCTTCGTTGAGAAATAGTAAGTTACACAAGGCCAGCACCACCTCCGGAGTTTGGAAAGTGCCTGACGCTGAAAGTCACCCGAGCGGGCAACTTCAGAGAGCTCAGTCTAGGAGAGGGTGCAGCCAAAGACTAGTTTTGTTTGCCGAGTCTGCCTTTTCTTCCTTGCACAAGAGAAGCCCGAGGAGCGCTCTGCCCACACGTAGGGAATCGGTTCGGTGCGAAGAGGTAGCGTGTGACAAATTAGATGTTTGTAACCGCAGCTGTATGGCTTCCTGGGACAGAGCAGGGTAAACAGTTATTATTTATTCTTGTTATACTGCCATTGCGAGCTAGCAGCGCTACTCATTTGTAACCTGGGTCTTTCCCAGAAAGACAGCCTGTTGGTTTCGAGAGGGTAGGAGTTCTGGGATCATGGCACTCTCACTTCTAGAAGCAAACCTGAGATAGTGGAGAGCTCATAATTGGATATTCCCCAAATCGGAGGGCCTGCCTTTGTTTCCCAGGTATTCCCAAACAGAAGTTAGCCTGTGCATGCCAATGCATTTTAATGAATTTTGACAAGGTCACAAGAGCCCATTTGTTGCTTGTCTGCTTTGTCCTTGCTTGCACGTATGAATGAAGCTTTCTCATACTTAGCCATACACAACCTCCAGCCAGCTTAAGTGTGTGTGTGTTTATATTTTTAAATATTTCTATTCACTTGTCAGGTATTCAATTTGAAACACAGCTGCCTAATATACTAATCAGCAGAGAAAGGGAAAGAACATATTTTGGTGCTCTTCTTATTTCTGTTGATTTTGTCACATAGCTTGAAGAAGGGGAGAAAGAGTTGGAATAAATCAGTTCCTTCCTGGGGAATCCAGGGCCAGATGAAGGAAATGGGCAGTAAAAATGTTTTTAGTAAGGGAAAAGTCTAGAAAAGGATAGATACGTTTTAAAGAGATGGTCTTGAGATGTCTGAGAGTACTGGATGAATGATCTGCAACAAGCAGCTTCTCGAATGAGTTAGGTCAGGAGCTCCTGGTCCCAAAAGTCGTAGTGCCTCAGTGATGATCTCCTGCCACCGTTGTTCTTAGCATGTCTGAGCCAGCCAGCGTCCCCGTAATATGAAACTGCATTATTGTCCCCTGCACGGGTCAGGGCTGCCCCAGTGGCACACTCACGGAGAGCAGTCGCTGGGAGCTGGGGAGAAAAATGCTGGCTGCTCACAGACAGCACCAGCAGTGTGCTGCACGGGAGTAACAACCACACGTGTTTCAGTGGGGAATACTGAAGCAAACCTCTCAGCTAGCCTGTCCAGCCCAAGAAGGGATTTCTGTATGTAGCTGATACTCCATACTTAAGTGCCTGGTGAAATATTGTCGTCTGTTTTTTTCATTTGTGATGTACTTGAAGCAGAGGGCTGAGGATACCCAGACCTCCCTTCTAACCAAAACGATTCTATGATTTGTTTAGTTGCTTTAAGGATGGTATCTTTCTCTCTCAGATTTGGGGCTGTGGTCAAATCTATCTTAAGCAAAACCAATGCTACTGAATTGTGTGGATTATACCTGCCTGCATTGGGGGAAACTGGTCTTCTGGATTTTATGGTCCTTGTGCAAATATTCACCTGGGAAATAGGAGTCTTGCTTTTCAAGAGAATGTAACACCCAGCTAATTTCACGGCCTCTCTTACAGCCAGGCTTCTCACGAGGGCTAAGCAACAGCATCCTATTTAAAAATCCCGTCCTAGTTTTGGAATGCCCATGCCATCGGAAAGCTATGGCCTTATTTTATCTGTTTATATCTAGTAACAGTCTTGGGGAAATGGAGTTTTGTTTTCCCATCACATTTACTCCCCAGTGCAGCAGTTAAAAAACTATTTTTCAAAGTTTAGAAAGCCCAAATTTTTCCCCAGTAACTCAGAGCATAGGAATGTCCTATGGCAAAAGCAGCACTGGCAAGGACACGCATGCCAGCATGTCAGCTGGCCAAGTACGGGAGATCCCCACCACTTCCTGCCTGAAGGTTCCCAGGGTGCAACTTGGGAACACACTGTGTTTACTTTGGATGCGTGAAGATTCTCTATACATGCCCGGGTTTAAATATATGTAGCTATGCTCTACCAACATGTTTCAGCCTACACAGGGCAACCTCTGTTGAAACATGCAACGCTGGCTTAGTTTTAGCAAAGAAAATGAAGGAAAACAATTTAATCCATCATTAGACCAACACTTGGGAGAAGATTTAGGCCTTGTTCCATTTCCTAAAGCTAAGCAAATTTTGGCCTCATCAGCCCAGAGGAATAATCAAATCGCTGATGCTTCAGCTGTCTCTGGCTGTGATGTACAGGCGGTCTCTCGCAGAGCAACGATTCAAACCACACGGAGCACTGCTGACCGAAGAGGGCGGTCAGGCAACCAGTGAATGGGGCACTGAAAGCAACTCTCCCCGCTCAGCGGCGGTTCTCGCTTGCCAGTGGTTTTTGAGTGCAACCCCTGTTAAAGCAGTGCAACTGGAGGTCACAGGAGAGAAGAACTGGTTGCTCTAGTAAGGCATAACTCTTAGAGGGTAGGGGGAAAATATCCATGTAAAAAGGTCTCTTTGTCACAATGCCATTCAAAACTGCTGTGTCTGTTGATGGAGGGTAGATGAACTTCTCCTAAAACCTGATCAGCAGCTCTCCATAGTATGCAGACCTGCTTTTCCATCTGCCATGATGATCATGTACAATTAACTTGTATCCTCTCACTCTCCTCCAAATGTCTGTGTAAGCTGGATGCTCGCACGGCAGTGTCTGACACCAATCCTAAACTGCATCTGTAGCCTAAGCAACTGTAGGCACAGATCTGCAATCTTCTCTCTGCCCACCGATTTAGAAATAAGTGATGAGAGAGCACTCGGGTGAGCCCAGCTGAGTGAGCCACCGGGCAGCCCTCCCGTGTTCCCAGGTCAGAACAATGCACGTTTGTGGTCGATTGCCTGAACGTAGGCTGAATTTAGGGGTGGACGTTGGCCGTTTGCACAGTGACCTTCATGTGCACAGTGCAGAAGGAGCCGCACAAGCTGTGCCCACCTTGTGCCGCGCAGCCTCCGCAGACCCTTCGGTGATCGTCCTGTGACGCTGTTGTCTGAGAGCACCAAAGTGCATTGCAGAGTGACTCTTAGGCAAAACTGTGATGTGCTTAATAATTAGTGTAAAATTTAGAAGTTAGTCATACCCACCACAGCCCTAGAGTGGATCTGGTTACACTGGGGATAGGTGGTGGGGCTTTTCTGGTGATAGGAGCTGTTATTAGATGTGAATTTTTTCCATGGTACTAGATGACTGTCAGCTCTTGCAGTTGCAGGCGAGGGCTGGGAGAGGCTTTACTGTGAGCCGGCTTAGGGGAACAGCGACTTTCTATGGTTTTCCCATTGCTGATTAGATACTTCTCTAAATGCTACCTCCCTCTATTGATAAACCGGGACTTAATGCTTATTTCCCTTAACTTGAAGCAGTAATGTTAATGTCTGATTAATCCTATGACATATAGGTCATGCTTGTTAAAATTGAAAGCCACAGATGATTATATTTGGGAGAGATTGCCATATCACGCTGAATTAGTATTAGAAGCGTTGTTTTCAGTTTCGCTTTCTTTATATGTATAAGGCAGGTTTTTTTCCCTAAGATTTGTGGATTTACAACTCTACCATTTCTTGTCGATCAAGATATTTATATAATTGTATTTTGAAAACACTTCCATTTTTATGAATGAGTTGCAATCCTTCAAAAGAACAAAGCCCATACTGCCTTAGACTTATTTACTGGTTTCTGAAATCTAAAACATCTGTGATTAGGAAGCTGGAAAGTCTGTTTAGATAGATAGTTGAGAATTTGTTTTGGTTTGGTTTGTTTAGAAAGTATGCCAGTTATTTCAGATGTTCTGCCTATAAAGAATGTAAAACAATTTAGTTGTCTCAAGTCTGAATTTAATCCGAGTCACTGGCAGAAGGTCACTAAATTCAGTCCAGGGTTTCATTCAGATCTGCCATTGTTTAAACCTAAAAAATGTTACCATAAAAATGTTGGCATGTTTGTTATTCAGGGAGTATAATGTCTTAATTGAAATGGTACCAGAAACTATTTAAAAAACTTCTATTACAGTTCACATGACAGACAGTATTTTATAGCTTTAACATCTGTTTCAAGGCCAACATGTGAGATTTAGCCTTTGTCTGACTATAACTCTTTTGATTTCAGTGAAGTTGCACCCACTTAAATCCTGATTGAATTTGTCTCACTCGATTGGTTTTTTAATTGTATAATTTAATTTTCTTTATCTCCAACCCAGTGTTACAGTATGGAGCTTCAGAGCATGTTAGAATAAGGTCAATAACGGATCCTTTCTTCCTTTTTTATTTTCCCAGTTACAGGGATCCATTAAAAGAAAACTGGAAGATGATAGCTCTCCTGCCTCCAGTGGCGTGCCTGACGTAGTTTTCCCAAATGACAGTAAAAGACTTTGTCTTGATGACGTAAACCTTGCCATGGGCCAAGGTGCCAATCCCAGCGTGGCGTGTCCAGAAATGCAAAGTTCTCCGTTCTCCACCGGTCACAGCGCTTCTTCCCTGGGAGTCGCAGGTCATTCAGTGCTCCTTGAAAACAATCACATGAATGGCGGTGGCATTGGTTCCCCATTTTCAGTGCCACCCAACACGGAAATAAACCAGAAGGGGTCAATAGGAGGGCAGACCAATAACATTGTCCACTATGATGAGAAAGGAAACAGCTTACAGTCTGTGGACCAAGAGCTGCAAGATCTATTGGAAGAGCTGACGAAAATGCCTGATCCTTCTCCCAATGACCTGGATCTGGAGAAGATTTTGTGCAGCAAGGCTGAAGAGCCACTTGGGCTGAGTCATTCTCAACCAAGCATAAGCACCACCCCAAAGTCCTCCCCACAGAACTCCCACTTGGAGAACCATGTTGCTAACAAAGATTTTTCTCCGGGCTGCAATCCAACCAGTGGAGGATCTCCTCAGGTGAGACCATCATCTGCTGGAGCTAACTTCCAAGTTCCTCCCTCAAACAAACCTGCTGCATCGCCCATCTCTACAGCAGCTCAGAGCAAGAACCAGCCACCACCTATGCTTCCCGTACCCTTACCCAACATACCTGGCTCCAACTGGCATGCTCAGCAGCTAAAGCAGCTGGCAGCTAGCAAGCAGGTGTCTACGACTAAGCAACAAGTACAGGCTCCCAGCTGGCCAACTATGTCTCCTCCTGGTCTCTCTCCGCCTTACAGGGCAGGATCATCCCCACACCATCAACCTTTCAGTCCTCAAAATGTTATGGTGTCTGGCATGCCTGCTAATAATTTACCAGGAAACAACATTCAGAGTCCTCAAAACACTCTGCTTTCAAGCATGACTGCCAGCAGCACCCCATCCAATGGCCCCTCTCCTCCTTATGGGTCTGAGAAGCTCTCCAGTCCGGCTCTGAACCAGCAGCCCTTCAGCCCACAGAGCTCCATGCTGCCCACCCTGACAGCAGCCAGCTTACCAGCCAACAACATTAAAAGTCCACAGAACAACTTGGTTGCCAGCATGGCCTCCACAAATACTGGACCTTCTCCACCCTACAGGCCAGAAAAGCTGTCAAGCCCGGCTCTGCATCAGCAGCCCTTCAGTCCTCAAGGTACATTAATCTCTAACATCACTCCCACCAGCAACCCCACAAGTATGCAGAGCTCGCTTTTTAAATCAATGACTACAAACCAGTCCAAAAATATGAACATAATTATGCAGCAGCCATCCAGTAGCTTACAGCCAGGACTGGTGAGTGAGAGCCCTGTTAGCCAAGACCAGTTTTCTTTCAATAACACCAAACCACTGTCTCACTTTGCCTCAGACTCAGCTACTCAAAAGATGTCACCCCTGACAGCAGGACAAGGGCAGCAGTCTCTCATTCACTATCTCCAGCAGCAGCAGCAGCAGCAGCAGCAGTCTCCGGCCCCGCAGCAGTCCCAGCAGGCTAACAATAGCCAATTTCTCCAGCAGCAGTTTCGACAGCTGATACAGCCGCATCGGATGCAGAGACACATGCAGCCTGCCACATTGCCATCTCAAAGCAGACAGGTGAGAACGTCTCTTCTGTCTTTAGGGCTTATATGAAAATATTGAGTCATTTATTTTCTTATTTTTACTTTCCTTTGTGTTTCAAATGCGACATCGCTAAACTTCTGGGGTGTGCACAGTGTGTACAAGGACAAGGCAGTAACAACGTCCTGGTGTTGTCAGAAGTAACGCTATTTATTTCTTCAATTGAAACGTACTGTAATTCCACCATGCGTTGTCTCTTCTAGCCCAGTGGAGAACTTTATGCTACTAGGCAAAACACATTTCATACCACTAAAATAAATTATTTTTATGTGTATAGGTGGTATTCTTATTTAGCTTATATTGTAAGCTGTAGAGATGTTCGCATAACATGTTTCCCATCATCTTTTTGGTGGGAATAGATTTTTTTTTTCCTTAGTGTTCTTCAACAAATTCATCTCTGTGTTACGCTTCTGAGGCTAGAAAAGATCAGGTGGGGTGAGAAGTGAAGTTAAAATATGACTCCTTTATGGACAGCAGGTCAAACATGTACAGCTCCCGAATAGCAAAGAGACAGACTTGAAATACCTGTTACCAGCATTTGCCAGAAGCAATGCCCTGCTTTGGATGAGGGCCATTCCCCACCCTTTGTTGATCTGCGATACCAACTGAGCTGGTAAATGCAAAAACACAGGTGGCAGGAGTGAGACACAGCCCTGATTTCTCTCCAGTAATCTTCTTCCTGAGACTCAAGGAGCGGTGCAAAGCGCTATCCGCTACCACCCCAGATAAGAGAGATTCACTGTGAACGGGGACTTCAGAGCAAGGAAGGGCTTGGGGACGCAGTCTGAGAGCAGCCTGGGTGTGAGGAATAAATAGCTATCTTGTTCTTAGGATGAATAATAGGAAACACCACCAAAGCCAAACACCTTGTTAGGCTGAGCCAACACTTTGGAAGCAGAATCCTTCAAGCTGCTTAGCTGTGCACACAGGCACTCCATCAGCTCCTCGTGAAGGATTGAAACGCTTCTCACCCAGCAAACCAGAGGTTGATCTCTGAAGCTCTGCTAGGATCCACTGGAGAGCGTGGTGCTTAGCTGGGGAATACATTCCAGAGGCTGGGTTTCTTTGCTCTTCTTCCCTGCTAAGTGACTGGTTCTTATACAGGTGGATTTCTTCAGTGTAGGTGACTTGGTGTAACCCTGTCCTATGATAGCAATGAGAAATAAGGGGATAGTTACTAAATGTCAGCTTCTTAGTGGAGAATCAATGAGGTGCATTTCCACTGTGCCACTTTAGAATGGACTCACTCTTTTCCAGGTTGTGCATGCTCAGTACTCCCTTGCTTCGATACAGCAGCTTAAAACAGACAGCTGGGAAGGACTGATGACTTGCTGAATTTGCTTATCCAAATATATAACATGTAACGATATGGCATATATAGTTCACTTTAAAGGGTTTTCAATATAAGAACCCCTAATTCAACAAAGGCCTGAAGCGGTTATGTTGCTTTAAGCATGTGAGGACCCTGTTTGTGGTCAGTGGGACCCAAATTAAACACAAAGTAGAGGGTCTTGCTGGCTTGGGATCTAGGAGTATGGATGGACATATGATTGAAAGTGAGTAAGTTGCGGCAGCTTCATGAATTACTGCCCATCAGAATTTTTACTCTGGAGGCAGCGTGGGTGAATAATACATTCACGGGGCTTTACTGCAGCTGGGATGATGGCTGGTAAGTTGTTAAACTGCAGCAACATGATCGCTTTTGATCGTATGTCCATAACCTTTGAGCATATATTTTTTTTCTGGCTCCCCCGCTGGGTGTGTGGAATTGCCACGTCCCTATTGGATTCCTGAGGTTTCCTGTGCCCTAGTTTTCCCTACTTTGCATTTTTGTCTTACACCTCTGAACCCCCTACATCATTGATTAGCCAAAAAATAAAAAAAAAAGGAGAAAAAGTCCTGCAGTGAGTCTCTTTAATTGGCCAGAATAGCCCCTCTTCCAGCAACTTTCCTAGTGCTCTGCCTGTCTGCATTTTTAGCTGATTCTCACTGTCAGAGAAAGAGAGTTATTATAATTTGGCGGCTATCAGTAAAGATCAAGGACAGTTAAGACAATGATTACAGGTGATGAGCATTTTACATTTTCAGACTAGTTAGGTAAGCTTATGGTGCCTCCCTCATTTTACAAGTAAGACTTATTACAATAATTATACACCAGATGACAGTGCTTCAGTTTTACAGTCTGTTGAGCTGCCGAAGAAAGATGGTGGATGTTCTGAAGTGGAACGTTTTGTTAGGTTTTGATAACTTTACTGCAAATGTCATAGAAGAAAATGGATCCTGAGTGCTGAATTAAAAGAAAAATGGCATGGAAAAAATATTCTAGGTAGGAAACCTTAAAATTTTGGGATACTTGCTACGTTTCTTTGAATCTAGCATGTAGATCTGTTATTTGTCTGCAGTAGGTTTCTTATTTACCTTGAGACATTGATACTGAAATTTTGGACCCGACCTGCTGTGTACCAATTTTACTCCATTATAGCGAAGTACCTCCAGTGACTGTGGTTTTGATTTCCAGCAGTGTACCCAGAGCTGAATTTGAGCTTTGCAGCATCTCGGTGCCAATTCTCTCCTGAGGCAGGTGATGAATAGGACTTTTCAAGCCTAGAGCAGTTGTTTCATTAAAAGGCAAAATGTTAAAGATTCAGACGACAGGGGAGACAACTTCTGCATCTTCAAAAATTAGTAACCTTCTGGTGGAAAATTGCCTTTTTTAGCCTCATTCACAGAAATTTGCTCAAAGAAAAATAACAGCATACCCTGCAATGTTGTTTAGTATTTAAAAGTCATCCCCTCACTCTCTGCGTGTGTTTGTAAATGTGACTAAAATTTATAAAAAGAAGGCATAGTACTCTCTTCTTTTGAGCAAGAGGTGCAGCTTTGTACAGAAGAAGAATGTGGATGGTGGCCAGTTGGAGGGAGAACAATAAACCATGAAATTTGATCCTTGTAGCAGGCAGAGCAACATGGGCAAGAGAGCAGCGGCTGGGACATAGACCCGGAGTGAGCTTTTTGCTGTTTTAATGCGTATTGAAGCAAAGACTTCACGTTCCAAAAGCTGGGTTACTAGTGGCGCCTCGCAGCTCTATCATTTTTGTACTTAATGATCTATCTCGTAAGCGTAATCAGTCCGCATCCCAGATCCTGTATTGCCTGGACAACTGGTAAATCTGATAAGGGCTAATTTTGCCCGTCTGAAGCACTATGTCTTTATTGTCGCGCATTGACGGATATTGATTGAGGCACTGACAGTTTGCATTGTGCGACATTGCAAAGCCTGGCGGTGCTGACATTGCTCTGGTGGGTATGTGCAGGTTTTCATTTTACTCGTGTAGGACTGAGTGAAATTATACTCAAAGGTCTGGGTTTATAAATCCACAGTATAAAGATGGTAGTAAATGCCAGAGAGTCAAAGATCGTCGCCAAAACTATCACACACTGTTTTCTGGGCTTAAGCTTAGCCACTTGGCTTTACTGGGTGCATGAAAAACTGCATTTGCCCAGGTAGGTTGAATAGTTGGGCATCTCCCCGATTTTCATGTCTAAATACAGTTTGTACTTGCAGATCGCCTATTCTGGCATGTCAGATATATTGGGCCCAATTCTGCCTTCAGCAATGTGATACAACATCACCGCTTCCAGAAGAGCTCTTTTACTCCCGCCAGTATAAGAACAGACGCAGGTCTCTGCGAACGGAAAGCAGGGTTCCCCTGAAGGCAGGAAAATGAGCCAGTGATCTCTGCAGTTTAAGTCAGGCTGGAATAAAAGAAACCCTTTGGGTGGCCATTACTTTTCCAAGCCCAAGTTCGTCTGAGTTAAAATCTGAGCGTCTCGGGGAGGAGGGCAGGATTGCCTACTGCTCTGTGTGTAAAACGTTGAAAACCAAAACACAGCTTAAAAGGTTGTTTTGTTGGGGGGATGTAGCTAATAAATAGCCATTGTTCGGGTGGGACACACTGTGCGTTTCTGAGCTCCACTTGCGCTGTAGGAACCAAATGTGCTATTCTTAGAGCTCTCCGCAACAGATAGTGGTATACTGGATTGTCAGTGAAGGGTATATTTGTTTCAGCTCCGTTGCCAAAAATGATGGTAGAGGAGAAATGATAGGAGAAGAGACAGAGAGAAAAATAATATTATTTGCAGGAAAAATGGCTATGTTTTACTACATGTGGACTGCATATGAGATAGTGAAGAACATGCTGAAGACTAAAAAAACCTTTGAAAAGGACTTGACAGTGTTTCTTTAACTGTGGTAAAAGCAGCAATACAGTATCTGAGTTGGCAGAGTAAATTATAGGTTGCAGAGAAACACCAAAACCCCTGAGCTAGATTAAATATACTAGGAGGGAAAAAAATTAAACAAAAAATCTTGTTTCTGAGCATGAGTTCTCTAAATATAGAAACAAAACTGAAGAAGAAATGCACTGTTATAAAGAACAAACTGACCCAGAGCTTAGATGTCAAAGGTTAAATAAATATAATGGAATACAAAATACAGCTTTTATTAATATAAACAGAGATGTTAATACCACGGACTGATTCCTGAGTGTCCTATGTTATGTGAAGTTATTTCTGCCCGTGAAAAGTCAGTGCACCGTGACTGTTAGATGAGAGTGTTCTGATTCAGCAGCACTTTATGTTTATAAGCTCTGATGCAGATTGATTAAGACTTTGGAAAAGCAGAGAACGCAGCCCACAGCATCTGAGTACATACAGTCCTCTTGTAAGTACAGGGAAAAATCATGTTTTATTTGGGATTTCCGAGATGTCACAAAAAGTCTTCCTAACACATAAAACAATTACAGTATCATGTATTATTAATAAGACCAAAAGTACTGGCCAGATTTCATCCGCAGTTTCAACCCCCCCCTTATTCAAGTGTCAAACTTATCTTTAAAGCCACTTTGAATGAAGTTCCGCTGGTATTTCCCCGTCATCTTATTTTTCTTTCCTTTTCTTTCTTTCCTTTTCTTTCT